ATTCCTTTCCTTTTTGGCCCTGTCCGTGGCTCTTTTCAATTCATTCCTCAGTCTCCTGTATTTCCTCCTGCCTTCTTCATTGTTGACATTCTTCCATTTTCTTCGCTCCTCCATTTTACTCATCATCTCCTGTGTAACCCATGGTTTTCTTGCTATCTTCCCAACTTTACCTACCAAATCACTGATAGTATCTAACATGCATTCTTTTATATCGTTCCACTGCGCTTCAGCATTTCCGCTTTCACCTTCAATTGCACCGAGTTTCTCTTCTAGAGTCTCTTGCACGCTTTGTCTTTGAGCATATAACTTCTCCAAATCCCATCTGGGTCTGCGCTTTCGAAATCCTATAATTTTCTTCAACCTGGTTCGGAACTTGGCAACCAGCAAGTTGTGGTCAGAGTCAATGTCTGCCCCAGGAAGCGTCTTCACATCCTTCACACTGTTTCTGATATAAATAGTGCTGATAAAAAATAAATAACAAAATATCATTGTATGAGCCCTTATTTAAAAACTATGAAAAGAAAATGCATTTATTCATTGATTTGTCCTTGTTTTTTAATGTAATAATGGAGGTTTGAAGAAACTGTTGATGTTTTGTCTGAATAGTTAAGTGACTCATCTGCTTTCCTAAATACCATACATCTTTTAAAGTTATGTACTCAGCTGTGAACAGTACTTTTCATTTTTCATATTTAAATCCAGAATATCCAATATCCAGATTAACTGTGACAGGATAAGCAAGGGTTTACTGTATTACACAAAACTATGACCCAGAGTTCTGCAAATATATACCTGATAATCAACAGAAACATTTTCAGAGAGAATGAGGTGTAAGAGCTGTGTGAAAGTATCTTCTGAGCCCGACAACCACGCTTTGGACAAACAGTGATCCATCTCCTCGACAAGCCATGTTTCTAGTTCTGTTTTCTCAGGTAAAGGGTGCTAGAACAAAAACACATTATAACAAGATCTATATGCAATGTTTGAATAAGACCAGAGAATTTAACTCAAAAGACATTAGTGACACTAATTATCTCTATCCATTGGACAAACAGTTTCAAATAAACAACTGCAGATCCCACACTATTCTACTATGCTTGTTCCGTCTAACGCAACTCAAAGAATGTATACTATTCCATTTGTTTTATTAATATCATAACATGTTTCGACCATTTTGGGTCATCATCAGGTGAATACAACTATTTAACAAATGCTCTTTTGAATTGCAAACCATCTTACTTCTTACATGGGCCCACATTTATGATTTCTGGTGGATGACAATACTGGCATTTGTCAATATTACATATTTATTAAAATTGTAAAATATTAAAAACACGGTATATAGATACATGAATTGAACAATTCTAGAGTGAATCTTTGAGTTGCGTTAGATGGAACAAGCATAATAGAATAGTTTGCAAATATGCAACAGGATGCACCATATAAAGACTGCGGACCTCAGAATTAACAAGTACACTAAACCTGCATTGTAATGGACTAATAGGAGGGACGCACGGTGTCCGTTATCGCTGATATCTGATACAACTAACTGAAAGCATATTCACAGAAGTACACCAGAGGACATGAAGCCAACACACACAATAAGCACAGAAACACACAATTTGAATACATAAAGGTTTTTACACTGGGGGTTCTCTTTTATTTTAAATAGTTTTCCAATTACAAAACCTTCTTGGTGTCTCGGCGTATCTAAAAATTCATAACTGTACACAGCAAGATTTTGTCTGTTATATCCAAAATCCATTATGATGATGGTTTACTGTATTACATGCTGTAAACAGCACTGAAAGCCATCAGAAAATTAATTACATCTAGAGGGCATACTTTAAACACAACTGCTATTCTTATTCTAGAATGAAAGCAACATAAATATCAACCTCATTCTGCTGACCCAAGATTGGTACTGGAATGGATCTACGTTCACTTCTACAATCTTGTTCCTGATGTACACCATCAATCACATACTTGGTCCACTTCTCAAGCTTTAATCGTTGTTCTTTCTTACTCTCAGCCTCTGCCTTAAGTTTCTGCATTTTTTTGCTCATGTATTTGGTCCTAGAAGCAATGAAAATAAAATTCCAAATGATTCCGGAAAGCATGAAAGAGGCAGTTCAAAATACAGTAAACTCCCCATTATCTGGCATGTGTAGGGAATTGGCTGGTTACAAAAATCTGTTGTTGCATAAGGAAAACTCTTAAGAACCCAATTTTCATATGATTTTCAACCTTTTCCAGTCTTTCTTCTTTCCATTTAGAAAATAAGACAGTGCATTTTTGCTATCGTTCTGGCATAGGAGAGTTCGTAACAAACAAAGAAGATAATCACGTCAAAGGTTTCAGATATACTAAAAACACTGTCACAGATTCAAGTAACCTCTACTGTAATCAAACATCACTACAAGTGTAATGGAGCCTTTGTGAGAGAGGACAACAGAGTTGCTAGTGGTAGAGAGGAGAACTACCATATGCTGGCTGAATATATATGTGTATCAATTTTGTTTCTGAAGTAACCTTATAAAATCATTAATTTTCTTCAAAATTTATGACAGCTGCATTTGAATTTCAGATGCTTTGATACTGGACAGTTTGGAGTTAATTACTATTTATCTCCAAATGGTTTTAACAGAAATACAGCATGCAACATTTATTACAGTCACTTCTCCTGAATCTTCGTCATTACCAATTACATTGTCAGGTACAAGTTTCTTTGGCCTATTTCCTCTCATAAGCTAAAGAAAGAGGGGGGGGGGGAGGGGGCTTAAAGATCACCATGCCAATCTGCATACCTGCACATATCCCCCTTTAAATTTTCATAAACTAAATAACAAATTTTCAGAAGCCACCCAAACATCATACTTTAAAATGTCTTGCAATTATTAATATATCAGATGTGTGAACCTGCAAAGCTGGAGTACAGTAGCAGTGCTTAATTCAGGATCCTGACAAAATAGATATATATTCAATAAATATGCTACTTTTGTTAGAGTAACATTTTTGTATAATATAAAATACGTGTAACTATCTGGTTTCTGTTCATGATATGTAAGCAATGTCCGTCTTTTAGTGCACTCAATTTTACTTGTTACTTCACAACATGTTTCGGCACTACAGTGCCATCATCAGGTGCTCTATTTACATCAGTCTATTTCATTGCCTGCCATTACGTCATTGTAAAATTTAAAAAGTATTTAAAAATGTTCGTCAGTTATGATGAATATATATACTAAAAACTTGTTAAGATTATTTATCTTATCTGTCCCAATTCTAACACCACGCATAGTTTCACCACTATGGGAGTCGTTCCTCTTATTCTCAGGGTACAACTACACACGCAACAAAACGGAACACGCAATACGAGACACGATATACCCTGAGAATAAGAGCAACGACTCCCATAGTGGTGAAACTATGCGTGGTGTTAGAATTGGGACAGATAAGATAAATAATCTTAACAAGTTTTTAGTATATATATTCATCATAACTGACGAACATTTTTAAATACTTTTTAAATTTTACAATGACGTAATGGCAGGCAATGAAATAGACTGATGTAAATAGAGCACCTGATGATGGCACTGTAGTGCCGAAACATGTTGTGAAGTAACAAGTAAAATTGAGTGCACTAAAAGATGGACATTGCTTACATATCATGGCTGAAGATCAGTGAAACAGGACGCTAAAATACAACATCTGGTTTCTGCACAAGAAATTTCCATACATTTTGGTTTGATGATAACTAATAAACCACTGGAGATAGGCATGTGAAATTTGGTATGAAGACAGATCATAAACGTATCTAAACGTTACATGTAAATTACTGTTAGCAAGTCATCAATTATGAACATGGTGTTGGTTGTACTACAGTCCATCAACAATGTAACAAATTGTTCCTTCTTTCTTACACTTTAGACACAAAATGTGTCAGCCCTAAATGGCCATCTTCTGGTGTCTTACTATGCTGAAGCTGCTACACTGCACTAATATGGACCATTCCTCACATATGTGACTGCACGCTTCATGATTTAAAACATCATACTTGTAGTCAATTGGTATGTGCTAAAATAGCACACACTGTAGTTCACTTAATTTAAATCAATCAAATCTACAAGGTGGTTCAAACATGACCGGGACTGATTTTTTTTTTTTAACCAAAATTGACATTTTTTTTTTTAACCAAAATTGACAAACACTTACTTTCACATGTCAGTCTTCAACGAACTCCCCTCCGGAGTCAACACATTTTTTCCAACGTTCTGGAAGCATCCTGATGCCCTTTTCAAAAAAGTTTTGTGGTCGGTGGCATATCCACTCCCGAACATTCTGGATGACAGCGTCATTGTCCACAAACCGCATGCCTTGCAAGCCTTCCAAACAGGTAGAAATCACTTGGTGCCAAATCGGGACTGTACAGTGGATGTTTCAGAAGGTTCCATTTCAATTTCCGGAGGGTTTCCATTGTTGTTTAGGCCGTAGGAGGGCGTGCATTGTCTTGAAGGAAGGCTACCCGCTTTCCACCTCTCTTCTGCTTGGATCGGATCTTTTCCATCATGCCTTTTGCCAAGAGGTCTAAGTAATAAGCTGCATTGACTGTTCTGGCATCTGTCAGAAAGTCTACATGGATAACCCCCTGCCGGTCCCAGAAGAACGCTGCTATCACTTTTCCTGCCGAATGGCTCCTCCACGCTCTCTTAGGTTTGGGAGAACTGGTATGCCGCCACTCGTGTGATGATTGCTGGGACTCGGGAATGAAGTAGTGCACCCATGTTTCATCGGTGGTCACTATAGACTTCAAAAATGCATCACCTTCATCTTCAAACTGCTGTAGGAGATGACTGGCAACTTGCATGCGCACCATTTTGTTCATGTCCGTCAAAGTGTGTGGTAACCACTGTGCAGGTGGTATTTCATGATGTCTTCTACACTACCAACACTGGTGGACAGCATTGCTCCAAGTTCCTTGATAGTGATGCGCCTATTCTCATGAATAAGTGCATCTGCACGATTAATGTTTGGCTTGGTGACGGATGTTCGCGGCCGACGATCATGCGGTTCATTCTCCACGCGCTCTCTGCCCTCTCTGAAGCACTTACACCACTCAAACACACGGGTCCGTGAGAGACACCCTTCCCCACACTGTTGTTGGAGTCTGTGGTGAATTTCAGTGGACAGGACGTTTTCTCCAATGAGGAATTTGATCACAATGCGTTCTTCCATGCTCCACTGTACCTTCTGTTCACTCATCACTCTAGCAACTTCCAGACAGGACTGAAGAGGTTCTAGAGGGTGGAGGTTGTGGCTTCACTCTCTCAAGGTCACACAGCTGCTGTGCAGTGCATCTTGTTTACAAGAAAAATCAGTCCCGCTCATATTTGAACCACCTAGTATCAATATTTCTTTTAAATTTTGTTAAATTCTTATTACACCTCACAAGGGGCATCATTCAAATTTTAATAGATTTTAATGATTCAAATTAAGTGAACTGTAGTGTGTACTTCTTTTGCCCAATGAAGTCTGTCAAATAACATTTCCTTGTTATTAACCCGTTGCCGTGGTTCGTCGTGTATGTTTCGTCAGGGATTTAAATCGTCTGGGGGGGTTCGACGTGTATGTTTCGTCCAGCTGCACACGTATGTTATAACGCCCATAATAATTGATGGTTTTGCTGTAGATTGTTAGATTTTTCACTGGCCTGTTGTCAGGAGGACTGTATTTAATGACACACGCGTTTAAGAGCGCTAAGTCGTCGTTACATATGCCTGTCTTGCAGCAACGTTC